TCCTCGGCCGAATCGGGGACAGGGGTAACCCATTGTCTCCAGGCAGCCGGTGGTGACCCATCGGCGGCCGAATCGGGCGCAGGGGTAACCTTTGGTGTCCGGGCCAAGGGTGGTCGCCCATCCTCGGCCGAATCGGGGACAGGGGCAACCCCTTGTCTCCGAAGCGCTGCACCTTGTCTCCGAACCGCTACACCTTGGACGACCGGTGGCGGCTGCACCTCTACGTCATGTTCTCCCGCGCCACGCGCTTGCGGAACATGCTGATCGTGCGCCCTCCTCGCGCGAGTTTCTGGAACGAGGGCCGCCGGCGCCCTTGCGGAAGGCACTCGACAAGTTCGACGAGATAGCGAAGAGTTCCTGGGCAGAGGCGGAGCAGCTCGCGGCAGAGCTGGGTTTCGTGCTGCCTCTCGCCTGAGCGCGGCTGCGCCCCGCTCGAAGCCCGCGGGATTGTCCCAACAGCTTGGTCTCGCGCGCCAACGGCTCGCGGGGTTGGTCCCGACGACGTGGCCCGCGGGGTTGCCCCAACGGCTGCGCGATGCGGCCATTAGAGAATGCGCCGTGCTGGCCGAGGTGGCGACGGCGCCGAAGAAAACCGACGCGCGCGCTCCTGCCAGGAGGAAGGAGAGGTGCACGAGGAGAACAGGCGGGGCGGGGATTAGGAGGGGGAGAATAAGGGGAGGTAAAGGAGGAAGACAAGGACGAAAAGGAGGAAAAATACGAGGAGGAGGGGGAGGGAGAGGAGGAGGCGGAGGACGAGGAGGAAGAGGAGGAGAAGGAGGAGGCGGAAGAGCAAGATGATAAGAAATGCAACGAGCAGGACGAGAATGAACAGGAGGAGGAGGAAAAGGATGATAAGGAGGAGGAGGAGGAGGAGGAGGAGGAGGAGGACGCAGAGGGCGGACGGAAGGCCTCCGCCAGTCGAAGAAGAAAAGTGCGAGGGACAAGCTAAATAGATTATCATGCGGGGTCCTACCGTCAGAGAAATTGTGTCATAACTTGGCTCTCCACCCGCCGTCCAGGACGATCTGGGCATTCCCGGAACGCCCTCGGCGAGGCGCAGCTGCTGGAGAGCATCCCGGGACTGGACAACCGCCGAGATACGACGAAAACGGCCAGAACATTTCGAACCTCGAACTCTTTCGTCCAACCCGAACGTGCATTGTTGGCATGCTTCGCGTCGCCAGATCTTTCACGAAGCCGAACTCCGTCCCGCCCCAGATGCCATCGGAGCCGGCGCCGAGGGCGCCGCCGCCCATCCAGGCGCTCCTGGCGGGTGCACCCGCGCGCCAGCAAGGCCTCGGCACGTGTGGACTCCGAGGGGGCCAGGCAGGAAGAGCGATGAGGGGAAGGAGGAGGAGGAGGAGGAGGAGGAGAAAGAAGACAGGATCAGTCAGCACCCAAGAGGCCCCCAAGAGGACCCCAAAAGGGCATCCACAAGACTCCGAATGGCCCCATCCACGAACGAAACTGGAAATGCTTCGTTGGCTTCGACCGTTCCGAAAGCGCCTGTAAACTGCAACAAAGGACCGGCGGCGGCATGTGCCGAAGGCCGCCAAAGAAAATCACCATCAAAGCACCCGAATAGCGGGGCAGGATCAGTCAGCATCGATTCTGATGATCGGATCAAATCGGAAAGTGCGTAGCATCGAGCTGCATTGGCACGGAGCCGAAACATAATTGCATCGGCCGCGCCAGAATGCGCACCAGCACCATGGAAACATCGGGCAGCACAAGATTGTCGGAGTATCGAAATCGAATCGGATCTAGCAAGATGGAATCGATTTCGGGTCGGATCGATCAGATCCACGGTGTCCTTGAAGGAGGAAGAGAAGAAGGTCGGGGGAGAAAAAGGCAGAGCGTAGAAAAGGTAATCCGACGGGCCTCGCCTGCCAGCCTGCATCGGCCAAGGCTCGTAATCGCCGTGGGTCGAGGAGGGCACGATGCGGCTAGCGAGCAGGAAGGCGAAGAGAAGGAAGAAGGAGCAAGAGGGAGGAGGACGGGCAGGAAGACGAGACGTAAGCAGAGGGGCGCGCAAGGCGAGGTGCAAGCAGAAGTGTCGATTGCGATGTTAGTGACGTGGATGCCGAAGCCGATGTCGTCTCACGGCCCCTACAACTGCGGGCAGCGTTCGACGGGCCACGCGAGTGCGAGACAAACAAATGTCAAACTGATTAATTTAAATCGTGCCTAGTCCGCTGCACTTATTGTTGCACAGAACGAGATTTGGCACAGCTGCCCGACAAACCACTGAGGCCGGCTGTATGAACACGCGACGTCGTGGCCGTCAGATAACATGGAAACAGCTGGGCTGTCAGAGTATCCGCCAACGTGCCTGCACGGGGTGGGCGTGTTAGAATGCTCCTCTGTTGCCTGGTGAAGTTTCTGTAATGTTTCATAGGGCAGACTCGCCCTCGCACCGCGCGCCCCGAAAATTCGACCGACCCCCTCTCCCGAGTCGACTTTGGGCAATTCGTCGCATCAAACAGGCAGCGTGGACCCAAACAGCGATTTCTTGCCATCTACGTGATACAGTCTAGTTGGCGCAATCTATGTGGAACAATGAATTCCTGTTCGCAGTGACTTTTCCACTCCATTGCTCGCGCAAACATCCCACCCACCCACCCGCAACTTGGCTTGCAAACCCTGGTCGGCGGCGATTGCGATGAGTGCTTGGCGCTGGCTGGTGCATCTCTGCGGCCGCGACAGCCCGCGCATGCACGCGCGCAGCGGCCAACTAGTTTGGCGCGACCGACGCGGCCGTGGTGGCGCTGACCGCTGGGCACATCCCAGCGGGCACTTCAGTGCCAGCTGGCGACATGGGCGGACGCGGTATCATGGCAATGTCGACAACGGTAAGCACGATGATAATAGTACGCTGCTGGTGACGATGCTGACAACGACGACGGCGCGGCCAATGACGGCGCAGATGCTGATCACGCCGGCGACGATGACGGCGTCCTCGCGTCGGTGATGGAGGTTTTGGAAAGAGTTCGACATGCGCGTGCGGCCGACACGCAAGAGTGGCCCGCATGGTATTATTGGACACGGATCGTGCCCCCCCCCCAGCACGCGCGCAAGGGCGTGCGAATGATTTCGGCATGCGGCGCCAAAGGCCCGCGTGGCATAATCCAATGAAAATGATGTAAAGCGATGGTTTCATCAAGAGTTCGCAAGAGCGCGAGCGCACGCTTTTTTGAAAACTTATGTTGCGAAACCATGTGTTTTTATATATGTGTTGGACACTAGGTATTGAAATCGCTACGAAACCGAAGGTTTGTGACGGATTTCGGCATGCGCGCGCGACGACGCGCGCGTGTGCATTTCATCCCATTTGTTGCAAAGGATTCTCGCGACGGCACGCGCGCAAGGGCGTTCGAACGATTTCGACATGCGCGCGCGAAGTCCGTTTGGTAGCATGTTCTGGAAATTCTGGGAAACTGTAAGTTTTCTCTATTTTCGCAAGAGCGCGCGCGCAACTTGTTTTGAAAACCCATGTTGCGAAACCATGTTTATACATACTATATACGTATGTGTGTATATGCCTTGGACACTCGATTCTGAAACCCAAGCGAAATCAAAGGTTTTTGACAGATTTCGGCATGCGCGCGCGACAACGCGCACCTGCACACTTCGTCATATCTGTTGCAAAGAATTCTTAAAAAACTAATGTGTGTTGAAAAACGAATTCGCGCGCATAGCATTTGTTCCAAAGGATGGTGGGGGGGCGGATACCGGCCCCCCTGGGATGGTGCGAATTCATTTGTAGGATGGACGGTGAGGCAGAATCATATGAACATTGCAATACGAAAAAGGGAACCGACAGTCCTGGTTGGGGGGTAGATAGAGTCTGTTTATTCTGTTTTAAGACAGAAGAATCCAAGTGGTGCAATACATGTGTTGCAATCTACGCGGCGCAAACCAATCCAAAGCAAACCAGTACAAAGCCATGCGACACAAGCAATGCAAGGCAATGCGAAGCAACGCAAAGCCATGCAAAGAAATACGAAGCAATGCGAAGCAATGCAAAGCAATGCAATGCAACGCGACGCAAATCAACGCAATGCAATGCAAAACGCTGCAGGGCAACGCACAGCAACGCAAAGCCATTCACAGAAATGCAGAGCAACGCGAAGCAATGCAAAGCAAAGCGAAGCAACGCCATGCAAAGCAATACGAAGCAATAGAAAGCAACGCAAAGCAGTACAATGCTACTGCGATGTAAGGCAAAACGATTGCAACGCAATGCGATTACAATGCAACGAGGGGGGTGCAACGCGGCGGCTGCGACAGACGGGAACCCGGCCGCTGGGCCCGCAGAACGAGTTATTTTTTCTTTTTTGTGTTTAAAAAATGTGGCGACGGACGGGAACGGGGCCGCCGGGGTTGCGCACGGACCCAGTTCCTTAGAAGAGAAATAGAACCCCCTAAGTGCAAGGGCTGCTTTTTGAGTAAATCAATAACAAACCGAAGACAGGCCCCAGGAGGGTCCAAACAGACCTCCCGAGTGGGGACAAAACCACCAGAAGAAACGAAGGGCCCGAGGGGTCAAAACGAGCTCCCCGAGAGTGGTCAAAACAACCCAAAACACAAACAACTGTTAAAACCATCTCTCTTTTTTAAAATAGGAAGAATATTCCGTATACCGCAGAAGAAGCGCCTGGATACAGCCAACACCAGCAAACAACGCATCAGTTGAGACCACTCGGCGGAATTAAGCTGTCCCAAGCTATTGCACAAGCACGGTGGCGAGGCTTGCCGCAGGCAGCTGGATATATGGACGGAGCGCATGGGCTCCCTATTTGCGCAACTACGGTTGGGAACTTTTGCTTAGCGTGTCGCCGCGGCGGCCTCGGCGACACGCTATGCCCTGCAAGCGGATAGCATGTCGCTACACGGGGCGGGAGGCTCGGGACCGGTAGCGCGGCACGCTAAGCCAAAGGTCCTGACCGTATGAGGCAGTACTAACCGAAGCGATGATCGGCCGTCACAACCCTTGCCAT